TGGCCTGGTCTTCAGTACCGCGGGGAGAGGACTGGCAGCTGATGCACATCAGATAGATGGAAAAAGCATAATGGGAGAAACTTTCTGGGCAACATGAATTTTGAGTGGATTAAATATTTAGGTTGGGTAGTGGGCATTGATGCTGTACTTGTGCTGTTACGAGCAATGCCATACACTTCCCTTGGATTAATGGTCTGGGTGTTAGTCTTTGTTTTTGTGAAACTAAGAGGATAAGGGTGAATTACTTTGAGAAAAGATTTTGCTTTTAAAGTGGCTGATCTGCTTTACTCTGCTGAGGAGCTCCATTCTCTCTCAGATTGCACAGCTCCATGTTACTGACTTTATCTGAATTTGGCAGCATTGTTATATAGCCCTCAAAGCGAGAAGGAGCACCGCTGTGACAGGGAGTACTGCCTGTCCGTGTGCATGTGTGTGTACAGAGACTGGGAATATGTGGAAACTGGAATTTAGCATTGCAAACAGAAAGCTACAAAGCAATTGCCTTAGCAGTTCTTATGGTCTAGTCTGTTCAAGAAGGCAAATGACTAGAGCTTTTTCCTATATAGTATGAAGACATTAAATGCAGTGTTTTCAGGGGTGCAACAGTTAATTTAAAAAGCCAATAAAAAAAGAAGAAAGTTAATAAGCTAAGCTTTTGACCCTAGAAATTGTGAAGCTGGGCTACTATATGTGCCTATCTTTTTCTGGAGCTTACAAATAAAACCTTTGTATTCTGCCCTGCTTTTACTGTAGTTTTCTATTCATAACCTCATCCCCCTGCCATTTATAGCAGCACTTAGTAAGAAGACCACTCACAATACTGTCAGAGCAGCAGAGAAGCAGAGGCAGAGAAGCAGAGAAATAGCTGTCCAGGCAGAGGGCTGGCTTTGGAGCATCAGAGGAGACCCTTCCAAGTAAAGGTGGCTCATGGGTAAACTTCCAGCCTTAGTACCTCCACACTGATGTATCACCCAGTGCTGTTGGACTGCATGGTCTTTTTCACCTACTTCAGCAACCTCTTAGGTCCATGAATACAGCAGCGGAATTTAGCATATGAGGTACTTGCAGGGTGCAGAGTGATCTAGTGAGCACTACTTTGGTATGCGTCCTGTTGCCTCGTTGTTTGAATTGTTGAGATTTAGGGCCTAGTTCATTAACTGCTGTCTGTACATGTCTACCTGTGATGTTTGTATGAGTTCCCTATGTGGACTATAATTAAGACTAGATCCTTTGGTTCAATTAACAGAAGAGACTTGAGCTCTTTTTGCAATTGATAATGTTTTTCACACTGAGAAGGAAATCATAGTGCTTATCATTCTCTTAAGAATTTTATAAATACTCACTCCACAATCCCCATGATGCCCCTGTTTGGTTTACTTGAAAAGAATAGCAAGAAACAGAAAAGCAGTGCTTTGCTCAAGGTTTTAGAATTTACCTATGCCAAAGCTTTAGCTTAAAATCTAAGAATTTCTTGGCTTTATCTCCGTGCTCCGACCATGAGGAACTGTGCCTTTCTTCCACATATGAAATACAAAATTATGTTTAGATACGTTCCAGTGATTATGAAACACACTGAGAGAAAAATGTTAGGTTGTATGAAACTTCATTCTCCTTTCCCAACCCAACTCTCCATTTTTAAATGATTTTTTAGTGAAATGCAACTATAATTGTGCATTTGTTTGTATTTCTTGCAGATTTGCAACCAACATAATGCTGAAGTTCCCAACTTGGAACAAGTATTTCACAGAATGGCACAAACAGAACCTAGTCTGGACCATGATGTATCATGGTTCCTCCTTCCATCATACTGGGCTAAAATGGTTGTGGCATTAATTTCCTTCCTCTGTTTTGCTAACAGCTATGATGGAGATTTTGTCTTTGATGATTCTGAAGCCATCATCAATAATAAGGTTTGTCTCTCTTCTTTCCCCCTGGACCCTTTGACATAAAAGGTAATAGGAAAAGAAATAATGACAACAGTTGATCTAAGTAGGCCCAAAATATTCATCCTAATAAATATCCCTCTTCTGAACTTAATTTTTCTGTTTTGTTTTATTGTTGTTTTTTTTTTAAAGTAAGCCTTATTTAAGGTTGACAAACAAGCTGTGCAGCAGTGTTCTACCAAAAAGCTAGAAGCATAAGTATGCTTAACAAAATCTTACTCCTGAAGCTATTTGAATAACATGACTTGGGTTCTAATGCATAAACAAAAGAGTCAACAAATTAAACAGCTTGCTTTCCCCCCCCCGTCCTCAGAATGTGTCCCCTTTTCATTCTTTTGCAAGTGAGATGCTCTGCTTAACGAGTGTAGATATCTGGTTGAGGGGAAGGAATCTCTTTTTGCCATACCAAATGGACTTTATCTGCTTGTCATCTAAGAAAGCATTATCTGATTTGGATGTGATGTTTAGTAACGTTTATTCACAGGGTACCTGTACATCAAGACTGCCTTAGATCTAATTTTATGCTCATTTCTAAGTCAGTGAGAGTATGCAGTAGACTTTTCTAATACCAGTTGATGTTAATAGGAGATTTTTTCATTATCTTCTCAGTGTGACAGATGAATAAGCCCAATGAATAAACTTACTCTGGTTGCAAGATACATAATGCATCACTAAGTGATTTTAGGGTGCAGGGGTTCTCCAGCTGTGGTTTATACCATAAAAATGTTAGAGGAGCACAGAAAGCTTCCTTTTCCTATGCTTCTTCCTCACTCAAAGTTCCTGTGACAGCAGTTTGGTTTTGTTTTTGTTTTTTTTTTTAAACAGAGGCAGAGTATTCTTGTGCTCTATTTTAAAACTGATCATACATGCAATGAACAATCTTTGAGATACCTAGAAATTAACATGTGACTTGAACAAGCCTCTAGCTGAGATTCTTTTAACTTTGAGGAGTTGAGTGTCTTCAATTGCTGAGACACTTCATAGAATCACATGTAGCTGTTAGTGAGCCCGTGCTCATGGGTGGGTCTTGGTGTTACAGCTCTTACGCTGTTCTGGAAGGGTTTTTTTCAAATGTTTGGAAAGAGAAGCATAGGATAAAAAGAATCACTCTCTGTTGGTTCTGTTTTCCTGAAGCCATGGGGATACAGGGAAGATAATCTGGAGACTGATACCACTACAGTTCACGGGTTTTTTTGCCTTGCACAAGATTTAGAGGTAACTTATCACAATGTGCCTTTTAGAATCCTAGAGAATTACTGTTTCCTTAGACAAATTTGTATCATGCTTGTGTAAGTCATCATACCTTGAGTTATAAATGTATGGGGGGGGAAATACATCTGCCAAATTGGAAATAAACCTCAAAACTTCTAAAAGAATACTATAGACAAATTAAGAACCTACAGTGACTTTTTTTTTTTAAGAAGCATTATATTTTAAATTACACCACTTCTGGCAATGTTTCATTCTGCAAAGTTTTATTTGGGGCACATTTATAGTATTTTCATTTCCTGAAAGAATGAAAAAAAACCTGATGTTGAAGCAAGGCAGGTTGTTTTGTTCATGTGCAATTTCCACACTTGTAATCTTTCTCCATTTCTTTCAGTTTTTGCTTTCAAAATGTTTTAATTTATCTATGCAACACAACAACCTGCACCAGGATTATAGCTGCTGGCAATACTGAGAAATTCAACCAACTGCTTAAATAGATTAATTCATACCTAGTCTGTATGTTTGAAAAACTGTGAGGCTTATTCTGTTTTTCACATCAAAATCCTCTATTATTCTCTAGAAATTAAATGAGATTTTTTTGACAGTATCATTTTAACACAGGGGTCATATGAATATTAGGAAATATAAAATATAAAAGAAAAATGCAGAGACAATGAGTTTACCAGTTTAATGGGGAGGGAGAGCATCTAGCAAAGGCATAGCTTATGAAACAAGGTATAGCATATTTTATTCATATTCAATAGGAGAGACATCAGGTGAAGTAATTTTGTAGATTTACTGAGTGTTACTATACCAATATTTTATTTGGTACCACACAGTGACCTTTTTGTTAATTTACTAGCTACCACCACCACCCCAATCTTTCAATTATTTTTTTTTTTAGTGAAAGATATACAGTTAGTTGACCCCATACCTACCGTATTGTGGAACATTCTGTTATTAGATTTTATTGGGGTTCAAGGCTGTTTTCCAGATGCTTGCTTGTCATTTTAAGCAGCATTTTAACTGGTACACAGCAGCGACTTTTGTCTTTATTTACTAGCTTGGCAAGACAAACAGTTGGATTAGGAGGAGCATCAGACACAATGTGTCATTACCATAAGCCTTTATATAGAAAACCTGACCTTTCTTCAAGTATTGAACTCTGCTGTCTGTAAGCTGCTGCTAATCAAATATTTAGAGATTGTTTGATATCTACTTTCAGTTCTTGTAGAGAAAATCATACATAAGTTTTAACCAGCTGTGTCTCTTGGAGCAAACCATTCCTATTTTAGGGTAAGTCCACTGAGTAGGAAAATTAATGACTGTCTCTCACAGAACTTGAATACAAGAGCAAGATGCACGACTGAAGTTTCCTAGGTCGTATGGAAGTGTATTCTAATCACTAAGTAATTCCATATATTCAGCTTTTCCTACATTCTTCCTATGGAAGATGAAAGAAAAGGGAAATCTAGAGGAAAGGGAAATCTAGCCTTGCGTGTCTCAAATATATTTCCCGTCTCAAGTTGTTGAAGATCATCTGTGACATAAAGACATACTTTTAAGATTTTGATACTAAAAAAAAGTCTGTCTTTCATTGTCGCTTTTTTGGGGGGCAAATGTACATAAGGAGCAGTGCCATTGGTTGGGGGGGAAAAAAAAAGTCTGAGGCCACAATGCCCACTAACAACTGTCCCCTGCAGAGTAGAAAGACTTTAATATATGTCGTTGTACAATCCAGTCTCAACTTGCCCCTGCAAAAGCAGGCCATATTGATTGATTTAGTGGGATGCTGGTTGAGTGCACTCCTCCTCTGACAGTCAAATTATGACCGTTAGGGTTTGTGCATACCAGCGAGGAATGGAACAGGAATTTAGGTGCCTAAGGACAAAATTGCAGTCCTGGGAAAAGAAAGAAATTTGTATCTATTGCTTGGCAGTGGAAACATCTGTAAGAGAGTGAATAAATTTTGCACCTTGATAATTCTTGAGCCCAAATAGGATCCCCTCTGAGTCTTGATTTCTTAAGATTTTCCCTGAGAATGCCTTAATTCACAGTTGCAGTATAGGACTTTTCAAAGACTACAGTGTTAGCCCTGCTCTCTTTTCTGCGTATTGATTAGTAACCTATTAGAGAATGCTTCACTTCATTTGACAGTGTGCTAGGATTTTTAGCCTACTTCCCCTTCCTAATTTTTTTTTTAACCAGTTGTCTAATACTGGACAAACTCAATCAAGTGATAGAAATAAATCTCTTCCTGGATTTTTTGGATGGAAAGTCAGAATGTGTTAAGAGAGAATCAAGAAAAGTTGAATTATTTTAAGTTCAGCTTAGCAGCGGCCAGTCAGCGTGGCCCAGACATTTGGCTGTACCTTAGGACTAGGAGTGGTATGTGTTCTCTCTTGCCTTGTTGACAGGCCAAAAATGTTGAGCTAAGGATGAGATGGAAGGTACTGGAGACCACAGCAGGTGCTCAAGATACTGTAGAAGCAAGTGAGATGATAGGAGCATTTGAGAGGGACTGGAGTCAGTGAACCAAGGGTATTATAATGTGGAAATGTTGTAAGTAGATGGAGATGTAGGAGGAATAAGACATAGGTTCTTTCATGGGTTTAGCAACCCCGTTTGTCTGCTTACTTGTGTTTGTATTGGCTTGTTAGTCTGTTTTGGTTTGTTGGTCTCTTGAACAATTTCAGGGGAGAAGGTGGGGGTAGAGTAACTTGTGATTGATTGCAGGTATAATACCAGCACTCATGCAAAAGCTATTCATTGCTAGTATAATTTTGTTCTTAGGTTCTGTCTTTAAGTGTGTTTAACCTGCACATTTGCTATAGCATCAATTGGTATTTAATTGCCTCAGGGAATCAGAAGAGGGGCAAGTACAAGATGAATATGTCAGAAAACTGATGCAGATGCTACCAAGGTCCGTATTTTTTCCTCTCCAAAGTGTATGTTTTCCATTCAATAGTCTAGGTTATTTGGATTTTTTCATTATCAGCATAGCTTTAAGATAAAATAAAAGAGTAGACTTTTCCTTTGCAGTGAGGTTTTTGGGGTTTTTTTTTAGCAGTCCTCTACTCCACCCCAAATTAAAATAATTAATTACTTTTCTGTCTTCTGTTATTAATCTTTTAGAGCAGTATATCAGTATATGGAGATTTTGATTCTTGGTTTCATGTATTAAGAACTAAAAAAAAGAAAAGCTATTTGAATATGTCCTGTGCAAAGTAAGGCTTCAAAAAGAACTAATTGTTCTTTTCTATCTTTAGTGTCCTTGCTTTCATGCTTCCACTAGTAGTTTTGCTACTAACACTGGTAGAAAAACAGTTATTTGCCTCCTTCACAAGATAACCTAGACCTAAAATCAAATACTTTACAAAACTGTAAAGTAAAGGGCTTTTTAATGTGTTTCATATCTCAGCTATTGACCGGCTTATCAACTGATATGAATACTCATAGCTCTACTAAATTTCATGTAGTTATGCCTACTTACAGAATCCAAGCATCTTGGCCTTTATGATGACAGGCATCCAAGATTGCAAACTTGTCTACCTTGTAAAATGTCAGTAGTGGGCCAGCAAAACACCTGCTATGTCCATGTTAGCTTGAGCTTGTATTAACAAACGCTTGTTTGTGTTTTAGCTGCTTTGAACAAAACAGATATGTTAAGAATCTGGTAATTTATGATGTTTCCTTTCAGGACCTCAGGGCAGAAACCCCACTTGGTGACCTGTGGCATCATGACTTTTGGGGTAGCAAACTCAGCAGCAATACCAGTCATAAGTCATATCGACCACTAACTGTCCTAACTTTCAGGTGAGACTTGCCTTTTTGCTCGAGGTCTGAATTTGTTTAACATATATTGGCGCAATTGATTGTGGGGAAGAAGCAACAGAAAGGAGAGATACAAAGTATCTGGAGGCTAGTTGGGTACCTTTCCTGAATATGATTTTCCTGTTCACTACCTTAATCTCAAATTGAGTTTTAATTTTCAAATTGTTTATTTTGCAAAGTATACATTATTTTGAAATTCTGTATCTCAATGTACCTTTCAGAGATTGCATCTTATGCTCTTACATACCTTGGTACTAGGGACAGTATGGTTCGGTATGTAGGTCATATCATCAAAGAGCTAGGAGGTGTATGTTCCTTTCACTTTGCCATGCTGCTGCTTATACTGCTATTGTAGTTTGTTCTCTGCTTTCCTGGTGACCTGTCAAATGATTTTTTATAAACAGCATCAATTTACTGTGGCCTTTTGCCACTAGGTCACTGAATAGTCTTCCCACCTCTTCCTCCCTGATATTCTAACTTCAAGTGAGTATTTGTGTCTGAAAATCCTAGTGAGAGAGATGTCTGCCTGTATATATAACTTGCTGGCTTTCTCGAATAACTAAAGGTTTATCAGGATTACTTCTGTAGCTGCTTAGCTCATGTTTTTTGCACAAAGATTTGAGCAAGCAGTAGATCATGTAGAAATTTGGCACAGTAATGCAGAGAATCTTTGAGGTTCTTAAGCTTCTTTATTTTCCCCATGCAACTCAGCGTTGTGGATGGGGACCTGGCACTGGTTCTGCAGTTGTGCCTGCTCTAAGCCAAGGACTAAGTGAAGTACTCCCACTCTTAGTCCTTATATTCAAGCAAAAACTTTGACTCTTGAGTGCAGTGTCAGTGTTTTAAGTAGGTTTCACTGTCTGTTGGGGTTTCTTCACATTTTCGTCAAGGAGAATACACAACTGAATAGAATGTGTCAGTCTTAAACCTATTAAAGCTTTCAGTGCATTACACAGCACATGCTTTCCTTTCTTTTCAAGGTCTCTGTGGTATATTCCATCTCTAGTAACATCCTGGTTAGTTTAAAGAGTGAACTGGGATACAGTCATTACTATATCTGAAAATATAGATGAGCATGTGGAGATAGCCCATAAAATGCTATTTTCACAAGTAAGAAATTGGTTTTCTTAATTTCCCTAAGCTCCAACTTTTTTATGTGTATCACATTTATAATAGGTTAGGTTTTTTTAATAGATTGCACTTAAGCCAGATGCAGACTGACCAAATGAACTATATAAAATCCCCTATCCAAACTAAGTTTCTGTATATCTCACCTACTGATAAAAGTATACAAATAATAACAAGATGTTTCTCCCTTTTCTTCTCCCCCTCCATTTTAGGACAGAGTTCCTATCTTGAATAGGGTTTTAGACTGAATTTTCACTTACACTTCCTTCTGGTTTTAATACTTGCATGAAACCTCTTTCTAACTAGTCTCACAAATTAGTTACTAAGATGTGCTAACTGCCTGCTTTCTGGATTGATACCGATTGTACCCAGCTGGTTTGCACATCGTCAGTCCAACTGCAAGGACATTTTTCAGCTAGAATGTCAGTGGAAATCATAGTCTCAGTGCATATTACTTTCCTCACTGTGTGGATTTAATTAAAATAGTGTCATCAGGTTGGTTTTGGATGTAGTTTCTCTTAAACCCAGGGGTATCCACACAGTAGGCTGAGTTGTTTATCTGCTGGACACTCCTGCATTACAACACTGAAGTTATGTTGCTGACCAAAAACCAGTTCTAAGTAACCATAGGGATGATTAACATAATAGCATTAACAGATGTCTTTGGAAAGGATAGATATTATGCTCAATATGGTATCCCATATGAATACCTTTGAGTAAAGATCAGGACGTTGTTTCTAGCCAACTGTGATGGCTAAGTGGTAATACTATGCGTGCTGGGGTTTGCTGGTATTTTTCAGCCTTTTTTGTGTGTGTGTGTAACATGATCTTGCTATGGGGTTGTTTAGGTTTTCTGTTTGCATGTCTCTAACCATTGATGTAATTCCTAGCCTTAATGTTTTTGTTTCTATATAGAATTAATTACCTTTTTGCTGGAGGCTTCTACCCAGTTGGTTTCCATGTCATCAATATAATACTGCATTGTACTATCTCAGTGTTGATGGTTGATGTGTTCTCGATATTATTGGGTGGACTGCAATTCAGTAATAAAGGAAGAAGGCTAAACCTGGCTCCAAAGACATCTCTTATAGCTGCTTTGCTGTTTGCTGTACATCCAGTGCACACCGAATGTGTAAGTACTGAATAATTAGCTTTACCGATTTGTATCTTAGAAGTTTTTGATCATCTTGACTAATTAATTCTTACATAGCCTTATATTCTACACATTGCTTTTATATATTCTTAACGTTTCTCTTGGCACATGTCTTATGAGAATGATCAAATAGTATGGTTAGTGCGTCCAAAAGCTTGTAATTCCACAGGGCTGGACCTTATTAAGGATGATAAATTAAATCATTTAAGTACAATAACTAAAGAAGGATAGCCCTAAACTACAGAGTTTCCCTAATTACTGGATTAAGAATTCATTACTAGAAACATTAGCTCATGAGCAGCCAAGGAGAATGGAAGATAAACTGAATGCAAACGCATAGCCACTTTTCATTTCCATTTGCTTTGATTAAAAAAAAAAAAGGGAGATAGCAAATTGGAGTAGGGGCATTATATGATCTCTGTATGTGACTGTATTAGACTATTGCATCCAGTTTTGAACTCATGCTGCAAGGAGGACACTGGGAAAAATTGAGAGGGCTCAGAAGAGCCATGAAAATTATTGAAGGACTAGAAATCATCCCATGTCATGAGAGATCAAACTCCATGGGTTTGTATTTTTAATATGAAGGAGAAGATTAAAGGATATATTTTTTATCACAGATTTTTTTTTTATCACAGACTTTAATTATGTACATGGGGAACACAAATTTGATAGTAGTGGGCCCTTTAATAGTGCAGACAAAGCATAACAGTGGCTGGAACTTTAAGCTGTAAAGATGCAGAATAGAAACATGGCACATGCGTAGCAACCAATTAAAATACCTGACCAAAGATCAAAGTAGTTGTGTGGACATTCTAGTGAAGAGGAGATGATTTTCTTAAAAAGCTCTTTTTTTTTTTCTTTTTTTTTTTTTTTTTTTGACTTATAGCTAAGAAAAATAAGCTAAGAAATATAGCTAAGAAAATCTTTTGGCCTTGTGCCAGTGAGCGTGTTGGATGTGGTCCCTGATTGCTTGATCTTGTAATAATGAAAATATGAAATATAAAATAAACACAATGCAGAAATCATTTTTTTACAGTTTGGAAGGACTGAGCTACTGAAAAAATACTAACTTTAACTTTGATCTTTGTGCAAGTAATGAACACTGACTCCTCAGTGCATCTTATTCTATATATGTGACACTGATTTTTCATTTATTCACAGTATGCCATGGTTTTGGCTTTTTTTATTTGCTTTGCACATGATTAATGGGGAAGAGGTTATGGAAAGCTATGCCTCTCAGCTGACTGGGGACTGTGCATGTATTGGAAATCTAGAGAAGGTGCAAAGTCATGTATTAGTAATTTGGCACCTTTTTTGGCAGTGTGGCTAAAACATCCTGCCAGTCATTTTCTGGTGTTTGCTTGCATGCAGAATAACTTCTTTGTGAGAGCATGTTGTGGTAGTGTTGGAAGAGCCTCTGATATTTGTTCTCCTAAACCAGTTCTAGATGTCAAAGTGAAGTAAAACAGGTCTTCAGTGCTTTTGATGTTCTGACATGTAAATAGAAATCTCACTTGAGTCTTAACTTTGCAATAGACCTACTATTGACTCCTTTATAAATATCTGTAATTTTATTCTTCATTCCACCTGACTCTAAAAATATATTTAAATCAGCAGGCAAATGTTAATAAGACCTTGGTCATGTCAAATAAATTACAAGTGATGCCATCTGCTTACATATGCAAGGTTTGAAGACTTGTGTATGCTTTGGGCAAATATTGGAAGAAGAAAAAAGTAGAATGCTTACGTACCATGTCTCTTCCAAGATCCAGGAGGGAACAAAAGACCTCTAATCATTTACACAGTGAATAATAAACCTTGCTGCACTGAAGCAGACATGATACTGCTATGGTTCTAGCATGAGTGTGTGTCACGCAGCATCTCATTAAAAAGCATTTCTCATGATTTTAAAGCTGTGAGTTTTAAGTCTCATGACATCCCGGTTTTGAAATGAGATGACATATTTTGACATAAAATGGCGAAGAATCTGTCTGCTGCTTTGGATTTTGGTAAATACAGCACAAAACAAACTGTTATGTAAAATGGATCTTGAAAAGTTTAATACTCTCAGTACTTATGTACGAAAAACATCTCTCATTATCATTTTTCTACCTACTAGTAAACACTCCTGTGGTGTAGTTCTCGCTTCTAAAAAGTACTTGTTCTTTGTAACGCTTGAGTGATGAAAGACTAAACAAAACAGGACATAAGAATATACCTGATACTAATTTAAAACTGTAATTTTTTTTTTTGTTTACCTTGTTACCAGAGACTATAGGACTGATCCTGCATTTGAGATAACATTGTGCTGTTGGAGTCATCTGAGGCCATATATGTATTACTAGTCCCTTAATCTCTTTGTTGTAACAAGTTGGCATTTGTTTTCAAAATTGTGTCAGTTCACCTTTACTTTTATCTCATTAGCTGAGAGCAGCTCCTGAAACAGAATGACACTTCATTATTTTCACCTTTCAAAGCACTCCACAGTTACTGCGTTAATTCTCGTTAAGAGAGAAAAAGAAGCAGGGAAGTTTGATGCATGGCTTTGGATAAATCAAGATGTTTTTTTGAACTGAATTTAGGAGTCCAACAGTTTCTCCTTTTACAGTGCTCAAGTGAAGCTGAGGGTAAAGTGGGAGAGAGTCTCTTCAGTGGATTCAGTCCTACTCTTGTGCCTCTACACTTCTCTTTCTCTCTCTGATGTTATTTAGAAATAATTGTTCCATCATGTCAGGCTGACACAAAAAATGCCCTTTTCCTAAGAAAGGGTTAGCAGGTGTCTTTAAACAAAATTAAAATACAATTTATCTTTTTACTTTCCTCTTTCTGTTCCGCTCACAGAATGGGACAACTAGTATACTACACAAGAACCAAAGTTTCTGCTTTTGTCCCTGAACCATCACCTCAAAAAGCAGCTTTAAAAAAACCCCTTAGCTGTTCAGCCTTGCTTCAGAAAGGCCTCTGTGTACATCATCTACTGGAAACATGGAACCCAGCACTCCAGGAAGAAGAGCTAGACTGAGAACAAAGGGGTCTTTCCATGATTCTTGCTCTGGGTGTATGTTCTAGTGAGGTCCCAGCATCAGGGCTGCTGCCACCCCCCTGTGTCATGATTTCCACAAAAAATTCATGGTATATCCTGACACTTCTGTAACTGAGGAATGAAGATCCAAGAATATGTCATGCTGTGTCTCAGCAAGTTATTGTAAATACAGTTTAAGGGCTTGAACCTAAGCTTGTTGATGGCCCTGAGAACGCTCTTGATTTAAATAGGTTGGCACAAATCTGGAGTACAGAGGTCCCAGAATGCGCTTCTCATTTTCTTTTGTGTTAATACAGCTTCTGTTACAAGACACAGCTGGAGATAGCACTAATGCAATCAATTAATATAACACAAAAAAGTGGGATTTTTTTTTTTTGTTGTTCTGCAGGGTGGAAACTATTTGTCCATTTTGAGTGTTCAGACTGCAATTTGAAGACTGGCTTGTCTTCTGAAAGTGAACAGTCTTGATTTGCATTTCAGCAAATTTTTTTTCTGCCAATTTTGTTGGGGTTCAGGATGTTTGCTGCAAGTTCTATGGAAAGGCAGCCTTATCCAAAAGACAGATGGAATGGGACAGTCTGCATTTTCTTCAGCAAGATCCTTCTTCGTTTCTTAGAACAGCAGTTTCTCTTAAAGCCAAATCATTTACCTAGTTGATACTAAGCTATACCCAATCAAAATTAGGATGCAGCTTAAAAAAATTGGGTATTGCTAATCCGGTATACCATGTTAAAAAAAAAAAAAAAAAAAAAAAACCCCTGATACAGTGATATTCTTTTATACATTTTACTTTGTATATGTGTGTCTACCTTTGATTCAGGTTTTCTAAGAAAAAAATTGGTAATCTGAAACTTATTTCTTTTTTTTTTTTTTTTAAGGTTGCCGGGATTGTTGGCAGAGCAGACCTGCTGTGTGCCCTGTTCTTTTTGTTGTCATTCCTTGGCTACTGTAAAGCATTTCGAGAAAGTAAGCGTTCTGTTTGCCCCTTTCATTTTATATTGTGTATATTTTCTGCATTCATACATATCAGTGAAGTATAGCAAAACTAAAAAAAGTCAGCTTGATGTGGTTTGAATTTATTACTGTTTATACCCTCATAAAATATTAAAAAAAGATCTGCTTTAGCAGGTATTTATTGTTAGAAGAGCTGGAATGGTTGCTGTCCCTAATTCCCGTTAAACACTAAGAATTTATTTTAAGAAATATCTATTTTGTAATAGGCATATTTGTTAAATGTTTTATTGGTTATAAGCATAAAGAAATATTTCAGTAAGTATTTTAGAAATAAATCAAACCTGTAAATGTATATTCTTAAATATTTTAGTACACTTTATGCCATTATGTTGGGATGGCTTAAATGGGAACAAACTTTAGGAACCTGACTTGTATTTTTAATGAATTGTAAAGAATTGTTCATATGAGTAAGCCCTCTAAATTCCTGCAATAAGCAAGTGCTGGCATACACATGCTGAATATAATGTTACTCATAAGAGTTTTTGTAAGACAGCTGTATTTAACATGGGTAATTCTTCTGTAGATGGTTGGTTTTTTTGGTTTTTTTTTTTTCAAGTAAGCTTTTAGATCTGTTGTGTTATTTGATCTGAAAGCAAGTTGGCAATTGAAATACAGTTGTGGAGAAATTATCTTGGGGCTCTATTAAAAAAACACACAAGAATATATGAATTCATGATTATGAAAAACTATACAGGACATGCAATCTGGTATCTGAATGTGTCCCGCCACAGGAAATATGGGAATCATTTCGTGAACTCATGAAGAGCTGTGTTGTGAAGAGCTTGTATATCAGTTCAATAGGCATTGCCTGTAATGTCTAACCAGAGTTGGCAGTGTATTACAGAGGTACCTGAGCTGGCTTTGAATGATCTAGCTTAACATAGTTATGGATGGCATCATAGAGCTTAGTGTAGGCTTAGGTGCATATGTTAGTCCACAGTGAGCTCTAAGATGCTGTGAATAGCTCCTGCAAATTGATTTTAGATTGTGTAGAGCTATTTTGCCTATTTCTACAGCTGAAATCATAAGTTTAACTTAATCTTCACCCCTTCAAATAATACTTATGGTGATTTCTGTTCACTTCTGATATTTTTTCTCACCTTTGAGTAGGTTTCATTTCTTTCAACTGAACTAATAATTTCTTGATGAAAGTTGGCCTTGGGATCTTGCTTGCTTATTTATTCTTTTCTCACCTATTTTACTGGGTATGATTGTGCTTTGATGTTTCTTTTGTTAGTGCCAGAGTACATTAGACAAATCAAAATATTGGCTATGTGCTTTCCAGTTTGTTGGTACAGGTAGACCTACACGGCAGGGCTGATCTTTGCTTGAAGAACTCAAGAGCCAAATTCTTAGGATGAACATTGCAGACTTTTATATAGGACTCTGTAATTATTTTGTTATGGAGGACATCTCAGGAATGATTAAGAATGTGATGTGTACCCTCGTTAGGAATATTCTGAGTGCTTGTACAACTTATGAAGGCCAGTTTGATAGCTTTTAGAAGTCATTGTCATTTTAATGGTATTCTTGTACTGAAATTCTTATCATTGAAACAAGAAGGAAAATGTGAAGACAAGATACTAAGCACTTAGTATTTTTTATTGGACATTACATCATAATAGTGTCAGAGCTGTGTCTTTTAGGCAGCTTTGCAAAGGAAGACTATAGTTTACCAGCATAGTTGTGGCTTTTGTCTTTCAGATCAGTTTTCAATGTTTAGTGTCACCTTCACTGCCTGCTTTTCCCTCAGCATCTTCTTAAAGAAATTTAGACTTTCTTCATACTCAAGAATTTGTATCCAAGTTGCATACTTGAATCTCTCCCAACAGTTTCCTCATTTTGGGTAGCTTGGTGAAAATTTCAGGTTCTTGCAGATCCTATCTGGCACGTCCTAAACAAGAGAATGAAAGTTATTTCCAGCACTGTGGAGAGCAATAAGAAGTTCTTTAGCAGATCTCGCATGGAACCTGAAGGGAGGCTTCTTTCCTCTGAACCTTACATGAGTCGCTGTGTGCTGATGAGCAATGTGCCTAAACCCAGACATTTCAGAGTCAAAGTTTCAGGTCAGAATGGTTCTGGTCTGAAAACTGATTTTGAAATGCTTGGGTAAGATTCATTGCTCATCCTGGATGTGCCTTTCTGTGAAAATCATTAATTTGTAAATAGAAAGGTAGATGAGATAGAATAGAATAGACTATTTCAGTTGGAAGGGACCTACAATGTTCATCTGGTCTGACTGCCTGACCACTTCAGGGCTGACCAGAAGTTAAAGCATTGTCCAAATGTCTCTTAAACACCGACAGGCTTGGGGCATTGACCACCTTTCTAGGGAGCTTGTTCCAGTGTTTGACCACCCTCTCCATAAAGAAATGCTTCCTAATGTCCTTGCTAAACCTCCCCTGGCACAGCTTTGAACCATTCCCACACATCTTGGCACTGGATCCCAGGAAGAAGAGCTCAGCACCTCCCTCTGCACGTCCCCTCCTCAGAAAGCTGTAGAGAGCAATGAGGTCGCCCCTCAGTCTTCTTTTCTCCAAACTAGATAAACCCAAAGTCCTCAGCTGCTTCTCATAGGACATTCCTTCCAGCCCTTTCACCAGCTTTGTTGCCCTCTTCTGGATACATTCAAGGACCTTCACCTCCTTCTGAAATTGTGGGGCCCAGAACTGCACACAGTACTCCAGGTGAGGCTGCACTGACACTGAGTACAGCAGGACAATCACCTCTCTTGACCAGCTGGTTACACTGTGTTTGATGCCCCCCAGGATGTGGTTTGCCCTCTTGGCTGCCAGGGCACACTGCTGGCTCATGTTAAGCTGCTGGAAGCTGCAGAGAGCCATGAGGTCCCTTTCTGCAGGGCTGCTCTCCAGCCACCCCTCTCCCAATCTACACTTGTGCCTGGCATTACTCCATCCCAGGTGCAGAATCCAGCATTTGGTCTTAAATTCCATGCCACTAATGATTGCCCAGTGCTCCAGTCTATCTAGGTCCCTCTGTAAGGCCTCTTGTTCCTCAAGACAGTCAACAGCACCTCCCAGTTTGGTATCATCAGCAAGCTTGCTGATGGTGCATTCAACTCCTGCATCCAGATTGTTGATAAATATGTTGAACAGAACTGGCCCTAGAATTGAACCCTGAGGAACACTGCTGGTGACCGGTCGCCAGCCAGATGTAGCCCCATTCACTACGACCCTTGGAGCTCTGCCCTTCAGCCAGTTCTTCAGCCAGCACACTGTGAACTCGCTTATCCCACAGTTGGAGAACTTGTCCAGAAGGATGCTGTGAGGGAGAGTATCAAAAGCCTTTCTAAACTGCAGAAGAACTACACCCACTGACTTCCTTTCATCAACTAGACAGGAGACCTTGTCATAGAAGGATGTCAAATTAGTTAAACAGAACTTTCCTTTTGTGAAAGGATGCTGACTGTGCCTGGTGATTGCATTATTCTTTAAATGCTTTTTACTCAGTATAATCTTAGTATTTTTTCCAGGAACTGAGGTTAGACAAGCAGGTCTGTAGTTTCCTGGGTCTTCCCTAACGCCCCTTTTGTAAATTGGAGTAACGTTGGCAAGCTTCCAGTCAGCAGGGACCTCCCCAGACTCCCAAGACTTTTAGTAGATGATTGAGAGGGGTCCTGCCATCTCCTAGTTCCTTCAGTACCCTGCGATGAATCTCAGATTGTCTCCACAACCAGTATCTCTACAAACTTGACCTACAGCCTCATAAGGCAGCTGCATTACACCTTGTGCTCATTATGTACGTGGTGTTCCAAAAAGTCCCTGCTTTGTCACCTTAAGCATCTGACTTGGGCATGCAACTTAAAAGCCTTTTCTCCCTGTTCTTTCTGTGTAATCGCTGGAAAGAGACAGACTCCTTTTGATCAGAGGAATAGTTTATCCTAGGCACTTGCAGTCATCATCTAGATATACCAGAATCTCTCAGTTGTGTAGAAGCTTAGGAAGACTAGGCTTGTAACTTAGGGTGTGTTTTCATTGTCACTTCAATTGGGCAGAAGTGCAGGCAACTGCTAAAACGGAGCCACCTAGCTTCCTTTTATCATAGATCATACAGCAAATTAGGTGTGTAAGAAGGAAACTCTGGAGGTCATCTCTACTCCAACAACTTAAAGAAGAGTTAACTTCATAGATCAGATTGCTCATGTCCTTAGCCAAGTGAGTTGCAAAAATCTTCAAGGATGGTAGAGGGAGCGACATATGACCGATTTGCCTCAGCCTCTTTTCCTATGTTATATTCTTCATCCTCCTAATCATCTTAGTGGTTCTTTACTGGACTCCCAGGTTGCTGATGTGGTTCTTGTGTTGGACATCACACTGAACACAGTACTCCTGATGTAGCCTCATAAGAGCTGAGTAGCGAGGAGCAACCACTTTCCCTGACCTGCTGGGTGTGCTGTAGCTAGCACAGCCCAGCATGCATTTAACCTTCTTCATTGCTGCAAAGACACATTACGGACTCATCTGCAGCTTGTCAACCAGGAACTCTGGATCCTTTTCTGCAGAGCTCCCCAGCCTGGACTGTTGCATGGTGTTGTCTTTGATTTTCATGAGGCTTCTCTCAGCCCTTTCCTCCAGCTTGTCATGGTCCCCCCAAATGGCAGTCATGTTCCCCACTGTACCCATGTATCCTCTAGCTGAACCTCACCAATCACCACAACCAATTTTACTTTCTGCCGTTGCTATAATTATTTTTTCCTTTGGGACAGGAGGTTGGTCCGATCCATCAGGCAGCTGTTCGAATATTAGTGTCTGTATAGGAAAGGGTAGTGTCTGTGTTGGAAAGGACAGCTACAAAGAGGATGGAGGCTCTCTCCTCACAAAGAGCCACATGGAGATGAAAGGGGTAATGGGTACAAGTTGCACTGGGAGGGGTTTCACCTTGATATAAGAAAGAAATTTTTTATAGTGAGGACAATCAATCACTGGAACAAC